GACAGTTATGAAAAGCAGGATTATAAATATTGCAACATCAAAAACTTACTTAAATATTTACAATAAATTTTTGTAAAATATCGTGTCATTTAGTAGTTCATCATACACCAAGAAGTAAATTATTAGAATGTAAGTATTTCAAGGTTAAAAATTTGCAAGATTCATTCAAGATTCATTTGCACGCCATCTTTGATCGATCAAGAGAAAGCAATATTCAACGTTGCTATTTAGGGGCACTGCCTAGAAATAATCACTTACACTTTGGAGTACAAGGCACTGCACTTGCTTTCTCCCTTCAACTGTTAGTGTTCCTCCAGAATGCATTTATAACTAAAATGTACTTTGGTTTCATTGAATAAAATTTTTGATGCTGATATATTGACTGTACGCAAGATAAATGTTATATCTTTTTTTTAAGCTCTACATCACTATTCAACTTCTCTATAGTAACGTATTCATTTCTTTTTAAAGCCACTATTTTGTGAGCCCTTTTAAATTTGTATAACCAACCATCAGAATTTTGAAATCTCACATCTTCAGATCTAATGTCTCTTTGAGTTTGTAAGTCCCATCTACGTACATCGCGATCGTAAATTATTAAGCCACTTTTAACACTAGCTTAAAAACTATTCAGCGTATACTGGCAGGTACGTAAAATTTATTCTCTTTACGTGACACCTTTATTAATAGTGTAAGACCAACATTTGAGCTGACCTTTTGACATAATTTTTCTAAATCTTTTTTGTAATGTTTCCATTTTTAAGTTACCGTTTTTTCCTGCTTTTCCAATATTTTACAGTTCTTTGCTTGTACTGTTAACATCTCTAGTATTTTGCAGACACTGATTTGTAGGTACAAATTCAGGATCAGTAAAATTATGTAAGACTTCATCCTCAACTGGTTTAGCATTATAATTCTCAAAATCTTCCTGGAAGTCTAACGTCTCTTCATCAGTCATATTAACTTCACTACAGTTATTTGTTGCATCAATTAATAATTTGCTCCAATTTTCCTGACAACTTTATTTCCTTATAGTTTGTACTGCTATTTGTTTTCCGTAAAGTTTTAAATATACGATAAGGGATAAATCAGTACATGTAATAGCTAAGTCCTCATTTTTAAATCTAATAACAAAACTACCTACGATTTCTCGAGTATCCCCCGTTATAGTGTTCTCAAACTCATTCTTCAAATATGAAGGCAGAACTTGACTTTGTACTTTTAATCAATTCGAAATATTAATTGTTAAAGGGACATTTATATTTAGCTCATAAAACTATTTTAAGTGGCACTATGCCAACTTAAATTAATGAAAACTGAAGTTTTGTGTTAGTGTTTTAATCAAATGCAGATAATCATAAAACCTGAGAATCATTAAATGTTTATTCAGTAAGTAAATAAAGGTAAAAACTACATTACTGTAAAGATGATACATTAGGTTATTATTATAAAATAAGTTAAAGAATATAATAATAACTTAACAAAAGAGTAACCAGCAAACGTTACTCTGGACAAAATCCATAAAAGTGCGAGAAGATTGCAGTATAGTGGCATTTTAACCTTAAAGGAAGAACTAAAAATACCAAAACAGTAGAAAAGACACAATAGTGTAATAGAATGAGCCTTTTTGAAATTTTCATATCTGTAGTCTGAGAAAGAACTGACCTTACTTAGATAATTATAATATAAATTTTCATGTTGGACATCCTGAGATTAACTAATAATTTAATAAACTAACGTGTGCCTTGTAGAATGAATAAAAAAAATAAACTGCGGATAAGCCTGAATTATCTAGCTCTGACCGCAGAAATCGCAAATAACCATCATTTTGCTAAAAATTGCAAAAGTTCGTAACTATTGTTTTTTCAAAGATAATCCTAAAATGTTCTACCCTATTTAGGAGTCAGAAAAGCTACACTTTTTGCAAAGCACAGCTTCATTTAAAAAAGTTACTTTAATAAACTAGACCTAAGAAAGTTGAGGTGGAATATATATATATGTATTCATAAGAATAAAATACTGTCATAAACATAAAAATTTTTTCATCTGAAGTTTTAGATGAAAAACTTTTTATGTGTATGACAGTATTGTATTCTTGAGAACATGACTTCTATAAAACTAAGTAGAGCTTGTAAATACATGGACTAAATTATAGGCGCAATAGGTGTCCATGATGTGTGTTATCTTAGCACCTACATTATCCTAATCCTGAAGAGGCTGTCAACAAGACAGCGAAATCTTGATAGATGTAAATGAATTATGAATAAACAGTCGGGCTCCAAACTACCAAGTCTGCATTTCAATATTATTTGTTGACAAAGGAGCAAGTGAAAAGAGTGTATATATACATGTATAATTTTTGAATAGTTAATGAACAACTTACTAAAGTTTCAACCTCTTATGTTTCGTGAAAGTTACTAAAATAACTATCGTAAATAATGGTATTTTTTACTTGGCTGAGCGGCAAACTAGAACATAATAAAATTTTAGCTCTTTACTATTAAAAAAAAATGAGAGTTATAAATTTTGAGCAAAATCGATGGTTTTTAGCTATCTGCATGCTTACTGCCAAGTCATTTGGATTCGTTTACAGTTTATTATTTCCGCTTTTTCTCATGACGCGTAAGCTTATTCAAAGCTTTTTTTTTTAGAACGACGTCCTTTATCGTGGGTTACGATGGGATATATGCTCCCCGTGTATTTCCTGTGCATAAGGATTGTTGGGAACGGGGACCCATCAGCCTGGAAGTGTAAGAAAAAAGCGTGCACTTCCGTTTTCACTGGATAGCAAAATTAAAGAGAATTCAATTACAAATAGAATGTGAAGAGAATTTTTGAAAACTGATGTTATTTAAATAAATGGGAGCACTTGTTTGGTCAAAACACATGCGCACATTCTTCCACGCGCTTGCTGGTACAGAAACAAGCCAAGGCATTAGTTTTGCTAAACAACATACGACTTGAACGTTCTCGAAAATGATCAAGTTTTTGAAGTGAGAACTTCTTCAGGCGCGCCTTGGTTGGAGACTAAAACAGGAGAAATGTACACACACACACACACACACAGAGTGCATAAACATATATAAATACATACATGCACTGCAGCTCAGTAACGCTCGAGGCTGATGGTTCGCCTTAGAATTTCGATACATATACATGTAGTGCCGCAGACCTCTGCGCCGAAGAGCCAAAACCGGCGGAAGCAGCAGCCCGCCCCGCGCGAGATTTTTGCGGCAGCAAAATTAGGCGCTGCTGCCACCTCTGTTCCTTCACGGAATCTCTCCTTCAAAGCAGCCACCTAATGTGGCACATGGCAGTTCGGCACTGGCCCTCACCTTAACAGCACGTGCTACGTCTTGTGAGCCACGCCTCGACACAACGATCCATCTTAATAATTCTACAGTTTGTTAATCGTTAAAGTCAACTATATTATATTCTGATTAAACCTTGGCCTTGTCATTGTGTTAACCCTGTCCCTTCCGCTCGGCCTCCTAGAGCTCGTCAAGCTCACCGTTGTGAACTCTAAATACATAGGAAGCATGTAGTGTTATGCATATTCCTATAGACGTGTCGTACTGCTGTGTCCACGTATACAATGCATACATGCACGTATAAATGTGTGTGAAACTTGTTTACAGAATTATGGATACAAATATGAAAGTGTACATGTATGATATGTGTATGTGAGTGTGTGTACTTTCTATTGTTACTGTGCAAGTGTGTACATGTTTGACTGCACACAAAAGCATAAAATATAGTAATTAATATTAATACTATATACATTACTTAATATTATTATTTTAATAAAGTTAATTAACAAACAATTTTTGTATGTGTGGCAAGATAAATGCAGATAGCCAGTATTGGTTCAACGAATTTTTATAATATTGTACATCCTCTTAATATAACAAAATACGCCGTATCTTTAAAAGGAAGCGAGATAGAAAAAAATAACAAGTTTCATAGATTTTCTACAGGTAGATTATCATCGTGGCACACGAAAAAAAAGTTTTGAGTTATGTGAAAATATAACCTTAAATTTTAGTATTTTGAGTATTTCTCTAGAAAATCCATACGGAAAATTTTTGGAATAGTTAGACATTATTTGCAAAATTATTACAAATATTTTGGATATAATTCTCGTGATTTGCCCAACAAAAACCTTGAAAATTATTTAAAACAGTTTCCAAGCCTTCCATACATAACAAATGTACAGGTAAGACATAAATGTACGGCCGTAACACGCGAAAAAAGTACATATTGAACCCACATGTATTTACGAATATTGTATTTTGCAGTATACATGTGATTTCTCCATACAAGCGAAAAATTCGTTTTTATCGGGGGACTCCAAGTCCCACACGCTGATTCTTAAATTGTATCTAACGATGTCCGATGCAAAAAACTGATTGTAGCAATTTCCATTTATTTTTGGACTATCTTGATAACCATGAAAAAAAAAAAATTACCATTTACAGTTATATAAAACTAGAGGCTAGACTGCCAAATTTTATTAAGTTAATGCAGCTTTTGAAACACACGACTTGCAAAGTCTGTAATAGCCAAGTTGGGAACTTACTTTCCCGGAAAGATTATGGTTTATGGTTCGAAGTCTCGTTGAGGTAACAATTACTTTTAGTTGTTGCGTATGACAACTTTGAAACACATTAGTTGTTTTTAATTAAATAGGGACATTATTATATATTCGCATCTTTGATAGAAAATGTCAAGAAACTGAAAAATAATTACTGATGTTACAAAATGTATGTAAGGAAGTAATTTTTTGTTAGTTTTCTAAACAAGAAGAACCCAGTAGTTTTTAGTGTAAATAAATGTCTGTAAAATACAAGAGAAAGTATAAAAAATGGACAGATGTATGTAAATAAATACGAACTAATTATAACAATAACAATTAATTAATAATAATAATGTAAATATTTTTAATTTAAAAATCAATGTTTCAGGTGTTGTTAATATATCCCCAACGAACCCAAACTAACCTTCTTTAATTTCCTTCCTTGTAAGATCGGCACTGCCTTTAGTAGCTCGAGCCACCATATTTGTGAAACCAATGCCAAAATGCAAGAGTTTAAAGTCATCGTCAGCAGTCAATGGCTCAGGTGTTAAACCGCTTAAGTGTAAACACTTCCCTGGAACAAAAACAACAAGGAATTATAAGAAACATATAAGTTCTAAAATAGAGACTCAATAAAGAAAGTGGATTGGAGTAAGGTTAAAAAAACCAACAAATGCTATGGTAGTGAAATACTGTAATACAAAAATACTTATTATCTAGCTACATACAACTTATATCACTACTTAGTAGTTTTTACCCGAATCAACACAAATGATCGGTATTCACTGAAAATTTGTACTAACGCGTGTGTACTATCATAGAGCGAGTGCGACTACGGCGTAGCATAGTTTATGAACGACTGGCTCTTCTTGAGGTTTGACAGTCGTCAAACTTACAAACATTATATTAAGAAACATTTTCACATTATTTAAGACTTTGCTTGAAGCCTAAAAAGTTATTGTCTTCTTCTCAGCTCGAATAATATAATCTATCACTAACGAATTTCAAACTTTGTAATTCTTAAATGGATTTATAAACCATAAATATTAAGACATTCATTGTGATTCTATGTATAATATGCACCTTCAGTTGAACTTTTCCATTTGGATAAATCTACCAGAGTCCTCTTTAAACATTTTTATTTGCTTGCTACTTTTAAAGATAGTTTGCCGTACGAAGAATCATGAAGTTTAGATATAGAAGAAAGTAATAAGGTATTTAAGCAATTGTTGCTGCAATAGTCTTCCTGGCACAACAACCTTTCAGAATTCACTGAAATTATACAAACATAAGACGCCTGTTACTGAGAGTATAGCTCACATCATAAAGAAAGCCGTTGCTTAACGGAATAACTTTAAACGAATTTCATGTACAAAACTCCGTAGTTGATTTCACTCATTAGGTCTAGGCTTTAACATGAAAATCTTAAAGCAAGGGTACCAAAACCTTTTGGGCATGGTGTTTAGTCCTAACGAAGCGTATTGACGTTTAAAATTGAAAAGAAAAATTATGGACAGTACGTAAAAGTCTCTACATGAATTAAAATACGCGTTATGAAACATTTTAACATAAAATGAATTATCTTTCGATTTTTTTAGAAGTTTTTCTGCAAAATCTTAAAAACTATAAACTATAAAAAAAGTCTTAAGTACAAAAAATATTTGGGAGATCATTAAGCACAATGATTAAAAAATATAGAAAAAATTAAAAAAAAATATTTTTCATTGTGTAAACAAGCGAAAAAAGCGAAGTAACTGAAAAGTTAAAAAAGTATCAAAACACACGTGTAATTAGTTTAAATTTTCTAAAAATCAGATATGATTTTGATATATCAAAGAGGCGGTTGTTGATGATGACACATTTTTTCGACGTAGCTATTATAAAACAAATTATACATGTTTTTTGCATGTTACGCTTCTTGTCTTTAAAACGCGAGAATTCCTTAATTTCACTTTTTTCAAATAGTTGCTCTTAAAAAGACTATTTACAAAATATTTTAAAAATAAGGAGTGTACAATGCTTCTAGTCTTTCATGTAAGCAAAATGTCTGACCTAGTGTTTTGAAAGAATATAGGTGTGTGTATGTAAATATGGACGTGTATATTGAAATTTAGTTTTATGCGACTTCAAATGAAATGAAGTACAATGAAATTTTATGATTTCAAATGTACTTACTTGAACACACTGCTGCCCACTTTAAGCAGGGCCTAATTTTTCTACTTGTTGTGAGTGACTTTAGCAATCACTGTGATAAGAGATAACCGTCTCCTAGGGGATCAAACAGGCGAGAAATGTTAGAGAGCACGGCACGTTTGGTGGTAGTCACAGCTAAGTCTTCTATAGTAGCCATTTGGAATCTAACTGTATCATGCAATAGGTTTCATTGCATGCCCAGGGTTTTAATTCATGAATCCTTGTCAATTTGCTCAGACGTCACTTGTTGGGTTGTATTTGGAAGCATTTCTGGATGATTTGATGCCTACTTATTTACTTTTATGCCTGCTAACGCTCGAATGTTAACTTACTTATCCCTTATCTTGACAGCCGTAGTTAGATTATCAGATCCAGCAAATGTGTCGTCCACATACGTATCTGACAGAAGGCTCTGAGAACGTAAGGGAAACCGTTTTCCTCCGTGAGCTATCAGCTGATGCAAGGTACGAACAGCTCAGTACGATCCTTTAAATTAACCATGATTTATCCAAACGTTTGACGCTGTCAGGAGTGAAGGCAAAACGATATCTTCACCTCTTTAGGAGTTTTGATGATAAATAAACTTGCAGTAGAGGGCCTGGCAATATAAATTTGTTTAAAGAAAACTAGTTCACTGTTGGACAAGAGGCGTTAATAACCACCCTTCTTCTCTTAGAGGACGGAGTTTTTGACACAACTGCGTGATGAGGTATGTACCAGGCTTTGTTCTCGCCTACGGCCGCAGGGGGCACTCGCAGCATATGACGTAACTTCTCGTTAGTCTATATGAATTTGCAGTACAATTGTAAAAGTTCGGGGTTCTTCGCAAAACTACGGTGCACGTTGGAGAGTGAACCAAGCATCATACGCCGTGTCTCTGCAGCTAGGTCAGGAGGCTCAGTCCTTAGTGGCAGCCGTACTTCATATCTACCCTCAGGGTCTTGACGGTGCTTCTCACTAAACAAGAATTATCATCTGGTGTCAGACTGCTGATTGGTGACGTGATTTTTTGAAGGTTCCAGAACCACTAAAGCGAGATGTCCAAATCCTGATTTACGCAGCAATGCTACACTGTAGCACAGGATCCAGTAGAGTTAGATACCACCCACCATGAAGTCTTGTCATTCAGAATACTCGAAATAATGCAACCCAGAATTAAATCCTGCACTATTAACCCTGACGAAGTCAATCTTTTAACACCTGAGCAGAGAAGCTGCCGTAGAGGTCCACACCTATTACCATATCAACTCTTTAAGACTGCAATAACTGAGGTTAGCTAATGAAAGGTCTAAAAACTGCTTACTATCGACGATCTCTTTAAATCTAAGGAAAGAAGTGATGAAGTTAACTTTGGGAGAAAAAAAATTGGCTTCAATCTTGTACGCTTTATCCATAAGAGAGCAGAGCTTCACTAACGCTATGGAAGTTGCAGTACCGACAGAGTGAGCACCTAAACTACATAAAGGTACATGTGTTCGGTGCTTACGCAGCCCAAGTAATTGCACAATTACCTCTGATATAAATGAACCTTTTAAATCCTAATCTAAAATTACTCGGGCACTTGTGCTTCTGTCCTTCGGTTCGATTACCTTAACACAGGCTGTTGCTAAAAGTATCTTATTAGATTTGAGAGAAAATGAGAGGTGATGGCAACAGAAACTTGATTCGTAACATGACTAGTTTTTTGTGCTTAAACCTAAGAAGCATTATCATGGGCATAAACAAGAAAATAATTCTTACCCTTCCATGTAATGCAACGGCCAGAAAAAGAATACTTGTCAGCTATATTATGTAGCCCAAGACAGTTATAGTCGTAAGCGTTTGACTTTGTGCTTACGATCATTCGAAGATTTTTGCATAAACTTGGGGCACTGTACAGTTTTATAATAATGAAAAATAATTAGACATTTGGGAGCATGAGGATGTTTCGTATGAAACATCATACGTGGGTGCCCTGACTGCAGAGGAGGGGCTATTTTTAAAGTGAAAACTTCTTATGGCGCGTTGGGCACTTTTGTGGGTGAGCATTTTCAGCCGTTCTTGCGACAGATGAGATTTTACACAGATATACTCCGCATGTATTCTTATAATATACGTATACTATACGCGCTCTTTGCATGGGCATTCGTTCGTGCTCTCGCGACAGACGAGATTACATACCTATATGTATACTCAGAGTGTCTAGGTATGTAAGAGCGCTGCATGCTATACGCAGCAGCGTTGGTCTGAGCATTATTCCACGCTCACAGTTCATGCTTGATCGCACATAGCGCTGCTGCCTGGATCTTACCGTGAACTACTTGGCACGAGAATTTAAATTCAAAATCGTATGATTTTTTCAGCAGACAGTAGGCGCAGAAATTCAAATTCGAAAGAAATCTTTGTATGTATTGGCTAATTAATGCCTAAAAATATTGGATAATGTTGTATGATTATATACATAAATAGTATACCAAGAATTCTTTCGAATTTGAATTTCCGCGCCTACTGTCTGTTGAAAAAATCATACGATTTTGAATTCGAATTCTCGCATAAAGTAGTTCTCGGTAGGATCCAGTCAGCGGCACTATGTGCGATCAAGCATGAACTGTAAGCGTGGAAAAACGCTCAGACCAACGCTGATACGCAGTCTTTGCATGGGCATTTGTTCGTGCCCTCGTGACAGACGAGATTGAGAGTTTTTTATATTTATTTTATAATGAATATTAAACGGAAAATTTATTTATTTAAATATTTCATTCGACTTGTGTTGCTGCTATGGTATTGTGTTAAAAAAATTGATAAATTTTGTATTTATTAATAACTTATACTTACTCATTTAAATAAAACCACTTCCTTCGAATATAGTTTCTATATTATTATACTTTATGTCCGTTCAAAAAGTGCCCAGATTGCTAACTTGATTTTTTATGTACAATTTCTCATGTCGCGAGCGCACCTAAAAATGCTCACCCAAAAAAGTGCCCAACGCGCCATAAGTTCAAGTTTCCACTTCTGCCTGCACTCCTGGAGGGCTTATTTTTTTTTTCTTTTGAGGAGGCAATGCTTAGTGATTCAGCCTTGTTGTCAAGGAATTGGTATGGAGTCGAATATTTAGGGTCAGCAAACGGCCTGTATCTAGAATCTTTTCCGGACTTTTCTAAAGATTGATTCTCCAATTCATTAATCTTCTCCTCCTAAGCCTCATGGGTCTCTTGATCTAAGCAGTTAAAGACTACGTAATCCAACCAAGGGTCCCACTGATCTATAGACATTTTTTGGTTAGCTAGAGCACGCACTATCCGTTGAGCCTCGTCAATGAGGGCTCTCAATTTGATGCCAGACTTTTTTTGCAACTAAGCAAAATTTAGGAAGGCTTCAATAACTTTATGGACACTTAAC